TACGATTTCCTGTACATGAGCACTGAATTCCCGTTCATGGAGTCTCAGTTAAAGTGAATTGTAAGCATTTCTAATTTCCTTATGCAAGTAACTTTTGCTGATGCCAGTAGACGTGTTTTGTATTTAGCTTTGATATCTGATTAAGCAAAGAGCCAAGTGGCCCATCAATAACCCAGAGCTTATCCCAGTTTCAGTAGCATGAAGTGACTAGGAGTATCTACTTCACCTGGATGGGATGCTAGTCCATCGCAGGGCTACCCAGCATTACATTCGCCGGTACATGTACCCCGATTTATACACCTGGGTTGGGTAAGGAGGACCACCGAGCAATATCGACCTTGTATAGCGAGCCGTAAATATTGCAACCCATTAAGGACATAGCATAATTTTCGTTCGTACGCCAAAATGTGCAGTTTATAATAATAATAATAATAATAATAATTATAATAATAATAATAATTATAACAATAATAATAATAATAAGCGAAAGAACATAAAGAGACTGAAGGAAAGTATAAAAAAGCTAACTTTAATGTTTTGTTGTTATTATTGTTTATTATAGTCTACAGTCTCGTCGTAAGAAATCTATCTTTTTTGTGTTAAATTGTAGCCACTTCAACGGTAGTTTGTGTCTTCTAGACAAGTATACACAACAACAACAACAAACCTTATAGTGTACTCATGGTTAAAGAACAACGACTATTTATGTATACCAACATTGAATGGGAAGAAAAGTTTGCAAAGTTAGTTCGTTTTAGGAAAAAAAATTGTACAAAGGCGTACACATTTTAGACACTAAAGGACACTCATTAGCTTGTCGTCATGACGACACAACATGGTTCCTAGCAACACGTTACAAAGCGAGAGCCGATTCGAAACTTGTGGGCTCACTCTGAGGATTCTATCCTTGCACTCCTGAATTCACTGCATCTATGCAGTCGATAACTGTAGTTTTCTCTTTGTAACGATATGTTCTGCATGTCATATTGTTTCTGCATGTCATATTGTGGTCACGTCGTATCCTTCCGCTGGTACTTGTTGCGTGACATGTCGAGAGCGTTTTCACAGATATTTTGGTGGATGGAAAGAAACAGTGGTAAGTACGCCATGTAATCAAGGAACGAAATCTGAAACAGGAATGAACACAAATAACGTGAGCCAAAAGTGACTCACTCACTCAATCCTCCTCGTGCCCTTGGGCACATAAGGCCATAAGAGCCATACGTGAAACCATCCCAATTTGTTTCAAGTCATGGAGATTTCTTTCTTTGTGTGTCTTGCAAGCAAACTCTCTCGTGATCGAGTCGATAAAAGTAGGCAAGCAATACATGCCAAGAAACCTGGCAACAAGGACCTAACACATTCCTTCAGGTACAAAATAAGTCAGTGACAACTGTCAACCTTCGAAACAGTCCAGCATACTTGATTACAAAATGCGGAATTTTAACTGCCCTTGTGCACTCCACGTTTTTTTCTTTTCCCCTTTCCCAAGCAAAAGCGAATAATTGCCGATTCGAAAGAAGCTTAATCTTTATCGCAGGTTATTTCAATCCTTCGTCTGAAAAAAGATGACTACAGGTACATTTACCCATAATTCCTAGCAAACGAAAACTTTAACAACGCTCATAAAACGTACAGTTAATTCTAAAATCTTCAAACCTGGAACACACAATTTCGTTAGCACAGGGACAAATATTGCAAAATTATGGCTTTCTTTTTACTGTCTGTACTTTATGGGTTGTGTAAGGCTCGCATGGTTATTGTAGGAAAATGTACAGCCGCCATCTTTTTTCCTCCAGATGATCGGACCCAATCACCTACCTCTCCTGTCACACTTGACTGAAGTATGTGTCCAATCACGTGATCCTCTTGCTTCTGGTTGAGCCCGCCAGCCTTCAGTTCGATTCTAAGTTGATCAGCGGTGATGAAAGTTACCGAGTAATCTCCAGTTACGAAAAACATGTTCTGAAAAAAGTTAAAAGGTCTGCTTCAGGTCATGTATAAACCCCTCGTAGTTTCAGTATAAAGAGACATAGCTTTGTCTACACTAAGTCGTAACGTAGTTCTTTGCGCAAGTACGAGGATTCGTGCTCTTTTACAGAGTTCCTCAAGCTCGGTTGCGCTTCTCCGTGAAAAACAGATTTATAGAGTCTCACAGTAAAGATCTTGGTGCAATGTTCCCTGGGCGTTATTCTTACATGTAACACGAACAAAAACCTCTCAGAGACACGATGGAAACTTAGTCTTACCCTAAACATTCCCAACTTGCACTCCAGATCAAAAAGGTCGAGATCCTCAACCAGTTGTTTGACAAACGCACTGAAAAGAGAAAACAAAGTGCATAACATTAAACTTATGTGTCGCACAACGCGCGCATGTTCACTTCGATCGCGTAAAGACGAGCGGAGAGTTGATCAATGACGATCACGTGATAGAATGGCATAATGACGTCCACGTGACCCTGCAAATGTTTTCAATTCCACGACACGAAGTCGAGTGGAATAATCGAACGTTCGCTACACCACCACGCAACATAAATAATTTCGTATAAGTGAAAACTGTTAGGCTACAGTTCTCTAAGTATTGCATATACCATCGCACAAAATGTACTCACTCTAGTACTGTCACTCTTTCACACAAGGCAGTCGTCACTGAAAACATCTTGAAAGTTATTCTCGACCCAGGGAACAGCTCGAGAACCTGAAATAAAATCGTAGGTGTCAAAATTATTTCAAAGTTCCCAAACCAGGAGCGTTCTGGGAAATGTAAGGCCATAGAAAGCCTATCTCTCTTTAACCTAGTGCCTAGATCTCCCATGGTGAAGTGGAGTGGAATCTGGTCAGGAAATTAGTCTCTCTCCATAACTCGCCTGTCAGGAAAGAAGTCTGTTTCAAGTCGGCTCGAGTTTCAAGTCCTAAGCAGACAGCGCATCAGTCGCTACAGTCAGCAAAAGTGGACGTTGCAAAAGTAATTCGCTTTCTTTGAACGAAGCCGTAAAAATTGTACGATTTGAGTTTGAAAATGGCTCTAAAAAGTCAAGAGACTGAGTTAAAAATGCAAATTGTCCTAAAAAGAAAAACTAAATAAGAATTGAGAATAGTGACACTCGCTCGATTTTTCCCTCCTCGAACAGTCGCAGTTGAAACCAACAGATGGATAAAATACAAAAGAAAAACAACAAGAAGAAAGAAAGCTCGATCATGAAGCACTACTTTCGAAAAAAATAACGAAAAAAAAACCCTGAGAATCTCATTGGGTACATCTCAAATTCTGAACAAGGGAATGAATCATTTAAAATGGTGAAAACAGTAATTTCGTTTACTGTTTTCTTCGAGTTTATATATCCATGGAAACATCGCCAATTTTGTACAACAGCAATAGTTAACGTACATCACACCATACGAACACACGTTTGTAAAATCAAGGTGACACCGCCCTACACATTGTAAACACAGAATACCGAAAATTATTCAATGTACGAAATCAATTACCACCTCTTTACAGCTCTGTTATTTGTGTAAATGCCGTTTGAAGGATCTGTTATTGTGGACAGCCCTTACTGTTGCCAAATGCAAATTTTTTTCCTCACCTGTCGAGCAAAGCTGCTAAATGTATTGAAGATGGACTTAAGCAATTAAAAAATTCCATGGTTACCGTAATTTAACAAAAAGACCGCGGCGAACCTTGAACAAACTTCACGCAAACACGAATCGGGGCAGAGGCAAGGAAAACATATTTACTTGGGATAATCGCAGGCTTGACGGTCTTAATTATTTATAGATTGCTGGAAAAAGCAAATGCTACTGAATTACATCGGGGCTGCTTTAAATATTGTCTTCAGTTGCGCCTCTGTTCCTGTAAGAAATAATTTCTTTTGATATAGTAGTGACCTTAAATTAACTCTTTTGTGTCATGTATTGGGAAGGATCAACACAATTTACGAAAGCATAATTGATATTTTACCACAAGTACAACAACCCATGTTTTTGTGTGCCATTGTTTTCAAACGTGAAGCAGTATTTGCTGTACGTCAGAGAGAACGAAGAGACAAGAGACTGCGACAGAAGAGCTGACATTAAAAGAAAGAATATAGTGCCCAACATTTACTTGTACACGGAAGCCAACAAACTGTT